GAAGCAGCAGCACATCATGGATACCAACCCCATGCATACCTGCACAATGCAGAGTGAATTACGCTCTATTAGTCGAGTATAAAAATGAGTTTCCGGCCAAATTAGCCTGCTTTCTGGTCTGCATTTTTCTGCTCCATCATTTAACACCCATCCGTGCCCATTATCCTAAAACGTACATATGTAAATGTATATGAACTGACATTGTTTACAGCAGCGACATGATAACACACCCCTTCATTCACTGAGTGAACAGAATAATTCCATTGTATGGCTTAAAAGTGCGAGTGTCTGGATCGACACAAAATTGCTAATTCTTGATGGTACGTATGTCATTGAGCTTTATTCAGTCAGACTCGGCTCTCTCTTTGAAATAGCAAAAAAACACACTTGACAATGTTGTACTTAACCTCATTTATTTGGAAACATTGGATTTTTAACTTAAACTTGACTAAGCTAGGAATTAGTAAGCAAGTGCTTTTCTATTACGCCATGGCATGTTTTGCTATCCAAATTATGACCCTTGTAGTAATATCATGATGACGATGATGCGTTGAAATGAAGCCTTGATTGGCCTGAAGTGTGGGATGTAGAGTTTACATAGATCAATCAAGACAATTAGCCAACCTCCATGCCTTCGTTTACCTGGGCTCATCATTTCCCAGTTAATTGTCTGACCAAATCCCACATCCCCTCGAGCTCCCTCAAATTTCAGAAACTCGACCATAAAATAAAATAATCAAGCTGACTTTGTGTGTGTGTATGTATAATAGGCCAGCAAATTTTGTGGATCTACGTTCGCATTCCACAAAGTCTGATTCATCCAAACAAACCCACTAGCTTTCCTCCTCCTGTTGAACAGATTGTTGTATTTAGTCATGCACTTTTATTAAATGCAACATTTCCGTAATTGTAAATGAAGTATTAGAGCAGATGAATTATGGACATTTCTAATTTAAAGTAAAGGTGAACGCAAAGTTGTACCACATTAGTGCATATGTAGGCAAACGTGTTGTTCTAACCTAACCTGAATAATTCGAATTTTGATTTCTGTGTACGCGTACATAGATACAATTTCATTAAACCTTGGAGTAAACATTCTTGTATCGTTTAATTGAGCGTCAGTAACAGCTTCTGTTCATTTTCATATTTCTCGTATGCACTTAATTAATCCTAAGTTACAAGTAAGGACCTTTTTGTTACTGCTACCATTGTGTTTACATTAATACATATTTATTGTATTCAATCAAAAATGACCAAGCATCAATTAATGATATGAAATTTTAAATTCCACGAAAATAATTGGTTATTTACTGTTTTAAAAGTATTTACGCTAAGGGTGGTAAGTATGAACACTCGTGTGTACATATTATCTAGCCTAAACTTATTGGACAGCAGAAGTCAACATATTTTGGACCACTTTACTATCTGTCGTGCAGTTAATATACTTTTGAGTTCCCATTATGCACATGTAGGTAGTTACATAAGAAGAGCAATAAATTAGTGTAATAAATATTTAGTAACTTGAACGTTTTGTACCCCTTTTGCATTTTAACAAGCACGCCGTTTTTGTTAAATAGTAGCTCCGGTGGCTGATTGAATTTTCGATTGCAAGTTGAAAAAGAAATATTAGAGGGCAATCATGTTTGCTCAACTTTCGTCTTTATACTCTATTCTCAAGTGAGTGTAATTACTATTAGAGTGTGGGAACTGAGAGGATGAGTCTTTAACGAATTGTGCTATGCATGCACATGTAAAGCCATGCAATGCAATATTAAAGGAACAAAATATTTCCAAATTTATACACTTGTTTTTTGATTGTTTTACAACCTTAATCAACTCTTTCGTCTTCCTTTCCGTAATAAAGCCGTATTTATTTAACAAGCACGGAGCATATTTACCACATTGTTGCTGCGTATTAAAACTTAAAATTTTGAACACGCTGTAATCCACACAAATGACTCATTTTGCTTCGTTAAGATAAATTACTTGAGAGGAAATGATTTTGTATTTAGTTATTGTATGAACATATGTATTCATACAGGCGACCCCGATATACTGCACTACCATATTACGCAATATGTACGTATGTCTTTATTTTGTGGTGCAGAGAAATAGTAAAGTTATTGTTACATGGTGAAAAATTCAGGGGAAACCAGTTATCTATGAAACAGACACCAAGCTTAATTAAGGTTTGAAGTTTGATGCTTAAAAGAAAATTAACAGCAATCATCAATAATTAGTACATGAATGTAATTCGTGATATAGTTTAGGAGTAAAAATCAAGGCTGTGTGTGATTGATTAATAAAACAATGGTAACTTGATGGATGCAATTAAGCCTGTTTTTCAAAGGAATGTTTATGTGGATGACAAACGAGATGATGTAAATGCGGATAATTCCAACGACGCTCGGGGAAAAGACAGCAAGAGGAGCAGGAGAGAAGAGAAAATGAAGGTACACAAGGAAAATGGGTTGGCTTGCATGGAGAGACAAGGGCGACGTGATGTTCCCGTCGAGAAGGAACGAATGCGTGGTTTATTATTTTTACGAGTAAAAAACGAAGTCGGTAATCAAAGTCTCGGAAAAGCAGATATCGAGGACTTTGTTGTTGAACTATATGTTGATGATGCTGGTGCTCTATAGCTACGTACGTATTTATGTATGGGAAGGTGTCAGTTGGTTCAGTTGTTTAGTTGGTTTGCTTTATTGGCCTTTTCTAAAATCGAAATCTACTATCTCTGCCTCACAAACAATGCAACGACGGTGGTGTCGGTCGTCGGTGTGTATAAAGTGGAGCTGAAGTTGAGCGATGATGATACTATTTGAATTGGAAGCGATCAAGCAACATGGGAGGACATGAGTTAAACAGAGAAAATGGGCTGTGGAAGCGTTTCTGGTAAGTTAATAAAAAACGGGGATTGTTGGGCATTGTATTGTTATTGTGTGTGAAGCAGTTTTATTGTATGAAAAAGCTTTAATTTGACTGCAGTCCACGCGAGACGAATTGTAAATTTTAGTAAATTTGGTTTAACACAAAATGTTCATAATTGGTTTATCCCTGCAACACTTAACGCTGTGATGTACTCTTTAATTTTTTGCTTGTTACGATTAAATCTTAAATTCTGAGTAAGTATTAAAATTGCCACTACTCATACATACGTACACACAGCAGCGCTTCGTATCACTATATTATGACCATATTGGACCGCACCATTTACAGGTCCAACTACCATGTCTGCTTTTATTACACCACGAACTGCTTTATCAGGGACTATTAGCCCGAGTGTACATATATGAGTGGTGTGGTGTGGTGTGGTACAAGTCTTTAGTTGGACATAAATTGCCAGGAGAGGAATTCGTATTAAATAATAAGAAAAGAGGAGCAGATTGTTGTTATTACTTCCATCAACCATTGTGTCCTGCCTTTCAAAATTCTACGTTCAATTACAAAATTACAAATAAAGAAGCATGAAATTAAGAATATATAAGAAATGCTCCCTTCTTTTCTTCCGTCCTCTTTCCATAAGTAGCGAATTGGCCTTTGATCTCAGTAGTAACACGGACAATTCATTTATTTCCGCGGGGGTCCATTATGAGATATCTGAAGCGTGAGAAATTTCCATTCTTTTCCACTTGTTCGTATTACTACACCTTTGCTGCTCATCATGTTGGCTCAATAGATTTGCTGCTTGCATTGTGTTATGCCTTTAAGTGGTTATAATCCAAATCTGTTCACTTTACAACAATGCAGAGTGGACGTCATTCTTCCAGGGCAGGAGAAAACAATGGACACCGAAATTTGGGAGTCGCTCTCGCTTCTATTCAAGCTTCACTCATTTTCCACTCATTATATTTCTAATACTATTATGGCTTCTGATGGATAGGTAAATGCTCAAATTCTCCATTCCCTCAAAAATTCATCATCATCACACTCGACGATTATTATTATTAAAAATTGTATGTTTTTTATTTATTTTCCATTTAGCCCGAGCCAGGTATACATAAATATTATTTCAAGCATTATCGAACTTGATATCTATCAATACTTATTTCCTATATGAGCAAATCAAATTCTAAACCTGACGATTAAGCTACTATTAACTCGTTGATTTTAGTCCGCAAACGTGCATGCTGAAGAATCTACCGTATGGGAAAGTTGGTTTTCTCTGAATAGTTACCATAAGTAGAGTTTATTTTGCGATGAAATTTTGTTCAGAAAGATGCTTTATGATACATGTATATGTGCATGCATATATGATCATTTTACCCACGTCGCTTATATTGAATTCAGAAAATGATAATCTTTTTTCTACTCAAAAATTGCAACGAATTGATTTTAAGAATTTCAAGGCCCTGGTTTTCTAATGTCCTTCCAAATCCTTGTATTCTCCTGCAGCGCTATTTTCATTAACTGTTGGACTTTACTACAATTGACTTCCCATCGGGAGGTGGTCGGGCTTCACGATGAAACTCATACCGACCTTCAAATTCAAACCTGTCAAATCGACACTTTTGTTTTTGTGCTCCCGAAATCTTGAACAAAAACATCTCATCATCACGCACCATTTGCCCTTCCTACCATTATTTGATACAATTCTCACTAATTGAGTTTCACACACACTCGACCCACCAAATAAACACCCAAGAAGAAGAAGCGGTCTCCTGGAATGATCTTTTCCACTCTTATTGTTCAAGGTATAATTTTTAACAGATATGTTCTTACTTTCCCCCGTCTTGATAGGATGAAAAAGTTGAATCTCTTCACATGCGATCAGTATTACACGTAAATAATTTCTTAATGCAAGTCGTCTTCTAAATAGTAATGGTGGGAGCTACTGAGGAGATGGTGCATATATATGCATGCATATCATGCATGTAGGAAATCATGGCTTGAGATTTGGGAATGCAAAATTTTCATGCAATATGTATCATTACCGATTTAGTATGAATTTCAGGTGAGAAAATTCTCTTGAATGAAAAAAAGTATCTCGACATGTTTTGTTGACGTTTATATGTTTTTGCTATATTTTATTTCCATTAGTTTGAGATTGTCCTCCTTACACAAAAGCAATTTTATACGGAACGGGGTAATCCGTAACAATGTATCAAGTTATCGCTTGGTTTTGGAGTAATAACGGAGCTATATAAATTGCTTCGAGACATAATGGAACCTCGAATGGCACACAACAAAAATTCTTAAAGATCTTAACTATAGTAATTATACCAAATATAAATAATACATATGTATATACCAGCTGTAACTTACGTATGTATGTAACTATATCGCACACTCTGAGTAAGCAGGTAAATATAAGCATCCCGGTTACTCTATAAATACATATGTTGTAGTCATTATGCATTAACATACATAATTAGCATAGTCAAAGTCATTGACAAAAGTGTGCTTGAAATGCATTTTTGCAGCGTTTCGTACTCACTTCCGTAGAATCATGAGGGCGGGCACTATAGTAAATGTGTAGTAGATGTAAGCATAATGATAATAGCGTATCATTATGCGCAACTACAGAAGATACAGGTAATATTACATATGTTGCTTCATCCGCTAATTAATATCATTCTCTCACATTGAATCGAATTATGGTTGACACAAGTAACTTTCGTCTACATATAATTTTGTATACATGTTGAAGTGGGTTTATTTAGCACTATTACATGAACAAATAGTTAAATTGGATGATGGGAATGTAATATGGGAATGCTTGTGCTAATAAATCACCTTAATTATCTAATGTAGTGGCAATACAAAACATTGCATAGTCCATCAAAAGCTTCGACAACCAACGACATGACCCAGGTAATTAGCCAACGACCATGTTGTCGCATTTTTATGTCGTATTTTTATACTAATATCGTCCTCGCCACGCCTCTCCCCAAATTCATTATTGTTGATCACCCATGAATCAACCAAAGATACGTATGTATGTATTTATATAGCTCCCAAAGCAAGTGTTGGAACTATAATTTTGCTGTATGTGAGTACTAAAGAAATGCATGACTGAAACTTTGCAAGCAATTAAATCAAGTTGAGAGTTGATATAAATAATAACAGTAATAACGATAATAGTTGGTAATACGTTGCATAATACATACATGTAAATATAATATAGTTAGTTGGCGGAATGAATACCTAATTTGTTGGATAATAATTAAGGAATGTCTCTGTCGTCCGGGTCGTCGTGGTTGGTTTGGGGTGAGTGACTGTTGGTCGGACTACTGCTACTTGGGGGGTGTTCTCCCCTCCCCCCGTGATGGTGACCACCGTTGTAGAACGCAGACAGACTTTGGAGTGAGGACGAAGCCGGGAGGGTGGGTTGTTGCGCTGCCAAGGCTGCAGCCATCGCCATCGCTGGAGATGGAAACGGGGATGGGTACAATCTGATCAGAAGAAAAGGTACTTGTCAATTAGTCAATTAGTTGAAAAAAATTCGTTTCCGATTTACTATAGGTAAGAATGCTGGTTAAGCATAATCCGTAGAATACGATTTGATGACAGTTTTCATTATGCAAGTGAATCATGAGATAACATCGTAATATCGGTGGGGAAACTGAGACGAATGGAAACATGATTTCATCCAACAACGCTGGAATAATAATACAACAATTAAGTAGTGTCTAACCTGTACGGCATTGGTTTTGGAATGGCAGAGGCCGCAGCTTGTCGGGCAGCGGCGTCGAATTGAGCCCAGGGGGAGGAGAAGGGAGAAGGGGCACCAGAGTAAAGGGCTCCTGAAAATCAGAATTGATGTTGCAGTTCCTATTGGTACCTTTTGTAACTGAAAGTGATGCTTTATATGTACTCACCAATCCGCTGAAGAGCAGCATAGTTTCCGGCCTAATTTTGAATAATATGATTAAAACCACCTCAATGGTATATATATATGCAAACCGTTTTACACGCACCTCTGCCAAGAGTTCTAACCCGACAGCCGACTGGCGTTTCCATTTAGTCCTATAAAATACCAATTTACAATCAAATAACCAGGCTAAGAATGACCACTTTGTGTTAAGTTAACATCTAATATGTTCCCATGATTGTGTTTCATATGTGGAGTGGATAATATATGTAGTACTAACATTCATAATTCATTGATAGCAAGAAATGCAAAGTCCACAAATTAACAACAAATTGTAGATTAACAATAATGTTGGAGTCAAATAAGAATAAGATAACAATGGAGAATTATACATTACGATACTTGATACTTCTAATCATTGGAAGTGTAGGAAAAACCTTTATGGGTGATCTGGATGCTATCTTCTGATGTGACTCAATAAACCACATCATTTGAAAATTCTTCCCAGTCAAATTCACATAGGCACATTAATAAATTCAAAGCACGAGTCTCGTAATTTTTGTCGCTAGACAAAATGAACTTGGTCCGGTCAAAACCTGAGCATTTTTAGTATTATAATATCCACTGCACGTATAAAACAAAAAATACTATATCATCCATAATCATCCTTGAGAGATGCGTGGAGTTTTAGTGTTGGGCAGCAAAAGATTTGTTAAATATATGTATGACGACCGAGGAGGAGAAAAAAGGGTAAGAAGAAGAAAGGTGCCTTTGACACATGTTCATATATGTAGCAGCAGCAAAAAGTCGGTCCAAACTAAATTAAACTTTGAAGAGTAACTATTTATAGTTGATGAGCATCATTAGTGGCTTTTATACGAGTAAATAGCATGGGAAACTAGATTTTTCCTACGCATTTTAAGTGAAAAAGACAGACATGCTACTGACTGATTAATGCCAAGGAGGAACACAAAAGGTGACCGACTAATTAGTTCATACGGCTTACTCTCCACCATTCGCAGAATAATAGGAGAGAACTAAAACTAAATCCTTCATTATTACTCTCTTGCTTTTCTTGTTATTAGATATTACATATTACGATGAGGTGCTCTCTACCTCCACCACTGGCAAAGTAATGGGTTAATTAACCAAGCAATTATTGTAAGTCATGCAACAAGTTGAGTAAAAGCTCAGCTCCTTCCTCCTCTTATTAAATGTTTCTTTTTGATGGTCAGATTGAGCTACAAATAAGTTATCCCTCGTACATATTTCTCATCATGACTGCATGTGGGCACTCCTGAACTGCCCACTTGAGTCCAATCAACATTAAATATTGAGCAGGTTGCGATGGGATATGCGGATGAGAATAGGGATAAAAAATATTGTATGCATATACAGATATTGCTGATACATGCATATATATAAAGATACACAATTTCTCATCTGCCCCTAGTTAGGAAATCAAGCTAACGACTGCTGAACAAAATTAACTAATTAATGGATGATTTGAGGAGGTGATAAGGGCCAATGTAAGATATGCACATACATAATGTCTGTAGAATAGCTGACTACGTAATATGAGTTGTTATATTCAGATTGTGAACAAATGAGACAGCAGAGATGATTAGCAAAGTAGTGGAAGAATTTTAAATTGCACTTTTATCAACAAACAAACGAGAGCGGCCGTTTCTACTTACCGTCGGTTTTGGTACCTGCAGCACAAATAATACAATATTTTGTTAAATAAATATCAATCAAATATTACGTATGTGCAAGTGCGTATTTATTTGTTCATCTTCACACTTACCACGTCTTGACCTGAAATACAAAATAATGAAAATGTTACAAAAAAGCGATACTTGATAATAAAAGCGGCGTCAAAGTAATGAAACCTTTCATTGGCATTGATGTTATGTACGTATGTATGTTTTTCTATTCATACCTGGGTGTCCGTCAGATTCAACTTTGCTGCCAACTCCATCCTGCAATACAAATTACTATTTGTCACTTTGATTTACTGGATTTTTTTTGCTTGTTTCATTTATTCCTATTTAACTTGAAACTAATTCATGGAACAAATAAACCAAAAAAAATGTTTCACAGACTTGTTAAGCTCAAAAGCAATGACTTTTTTCATTACTTGTGTACATGTATAAATTCGTAAAGAAGTTGCAATATCTGACAGATGTTTCACTTTCAATAAATTTGCGTGCTTGGTTAATGTCCTTTTAATTGTCAGTGTCATAAATGAGTATGTAGCACTCATTGGATGGACGACTCATCCTCAGCAGTACCATAGTGAGTTGGCTACTGGCTGACCATTGTTCATATACAATGCATACATATTCATACATATTTATAATATTTATGTGCAAGTTAATAAAACCAACCATCAAACTTATCTGCGTATGATCTGCACTACCGACTGGACTATGTAAACTGGGTCGTAAAGTTGGACTGATGGTCAAGCAATAAGCAAGGATTCTATTTTTTGTTTGCAATAATAATCCGACCTGCTATGCTAAGCTAAAAACTGGTCCAATTAATTGAAACTTGAATTAAAAGCGTCAGCACTTTAGAGTACATAATGGGTGCACAAGTCAATCCACAAACTTGAGAACAAGTTTATGTCGGCAATGATAATATTGCCGAGTAAACGAGTTTTAATTGTATTATTTCATTTATCGACAATAATAACGAGTTCCTGTCTCATCACACAACGCTATTTCGCTCTTTTGTCTCCTCGATATTAATATACGTATGTACAACATTTTTGTATTGTATGCATGGTGTAAGTAAATGGCAGTCAAAACCATTATTCCACTAACGAGTCAGTTCTTTCTTGGCAGTGACTACAAAATGAAATTAATTGTCCTTGTTTTCCTTGATTTCTATTGATTTGACAAAATCCTCACACAATTAGTAATCAGTTCACTATTACTGCAATTAATTATTGTGTAAAACTAAGGATTCCTCAGTTTTGTATGAGGTGAGGATGCAGCCAGCATGCAACATACATAATTCATAATTTAGTTGATTCATTTTATCCCTCATTCTTGTAATTAATTAAATAGTTGATGTTATTATATGCATGCACACACATTCATGGCTGTAAGTACATATCTCTGTGTACACAAGCACACCATTTATTTATGCATATAGAGTATTGCAAGTAGTAATACTTAATACATAATACTAATCTATGTACAAATGCAAAAATCCACAGGCACTTCAGTCCATTTAGCTTGGAAATGGAGCCTTACGTACGTACATACATATGTACATATTTTATTACTTATTTCACCTTCTAAAAGAATCAAGTGTGGGTGGATATAAATTAATCCTGGTTAATTTCAAGTTAATTTCCCATTAAAGGAAATTCAATTGCCAAGCTTCCTTGCATGCACATGAATTCACACGCAAATTAATCATTTATAATTTACTGCGTACAATTTTAATGGATTTTTCTGAAGATGATAATAAAGATTGTGAGCTTCTTGAATATGTATCTTACCTGTCCTGAACGGAGAGGTATTTCTGTCTCTCGAACGACTTTTCCAGCGTTTGTAATTGGTGATCAGTAAAAGCAGTTCTAGCTTTTCTCTGTTTCTTGGAAATGGAGGAGTGGTTAGAGCCGGGGATGACTATTCCGCCGCGATGATGCTCGTGATGATGGCTTACCGTCGTCCCCCCCTCGCTCCGAGTGCTCTCGTCGTCGTCGTCCTTATCATGACTCCCTGCAATAGTTCATAAGTCGCATCCTTATTTTGTGTGTAACAATCAACCCATTTGACTACTGATGTCATAGTATATACACTTAATAGCACTTAGTAGGGGAGGTTGCGTATCATCAACTCACGGATCTCGATGTCCTTTGGATATGTTGCTTTCACTCATTAAAATCCACGCCAAAAATACAATTTTACCCTTATTTTGAAATTTCTTTCACCATTATACTCCGAATCCGAGATAGTTGTTTTCTTATATCCAACATCAAACTCAACTTTTGGAATTTTTTAGTATTTTTAAAATTTAAAATTCCGAATGAGCATTGTTGTAGTAATCAACAACGCAAATTATGCCTGCGAAATAATCATCGAAAAATTTGAGTTTGATATTGGATATAAGAAACGAACTATCTGGGAGTATAATGGTGAAAGAAATTTCAAAATTAGAGTAAAATTGGATTTTTGGCGTGGATTTGAATGAGTGAAAGCGATTTTTGGGCACCTTTGAGTGGGTGTGGCGGGCGCAAATGTGGTCATGGAGTCAAACCACTTCAGGGTTGCTGTTCACTCATGGAACACTATAACATATCCAAAGGACATCGAGGTCCGTGAGTTGGTAGTACGCAACCTCCCCTTCTGACAATGCGATGACGCCAGCGGTCTCGCTCCGATTTTGACGAAACAACGATAATTATGTAGCCTTAGGTAAATAATTGAACACGTGTTTCGGGATTTTTCATAATGTTCAGTTTAAACAAAGTTATGATAGTATAAGTGACCGAAAATTCGCATTTTTCTCGTCAAGTTTTTCTTTTTTTTGTTTCTGAGGGGGAAAAATGCGAATTTTCGGTCACTTATACCATCATAACTTTGTTTAAACTGAGCATTATGAAAAATCCCGAAACACGTGTTCAATTATTTACATAAGGCTACATAATTATCGTTGTTTGTTCAAAATCGGAGCGAGACCGCTGGCGTCATCGCATTGTGAGTAGATAAGTGACACCCGACTCACATTTCTCGTTATTACCATATAGTGTATAGTTTGTCCTATTTATTTGCGACAATTGCTAAATGCGTACTTTATACGGGAACCATAAGTACATTGTTGTGTAATGACCTTTTAATTTTTTTCGTCTAGTGGCTTATCAAATGAACATGCATCGTAATCGTTAGAGTAATTATGATAAATGATCAGGCATGGATTCAATTATTACAGTTCCAGTTTTAATCCAGCGGAAATCTTTGTCTCTGACGTATGTATTTAGGTTTAACCTATGATTGGTTATGAGCAAATCCACGACGAGATATTTAATTCGCTACCTTTTCATTTAATACCGTCTGATAATTGCTTCGACTTAATTAACCCATGTAATCAAGTAGAATCTAAAACGTTATTTGTTATTTAAAAGAATTACAAAGACATGCAAGGTCGGCTTCCAAAAGATGGTAGCGAGCAAATACAGACATAAGTGGCATGTTTTAGCAAATAATGGTGTAGACATGCATGGGAACTTTTGTAATCATAATTGATCGCTTCAAATCAAAGCGCACATATTTATAATGCATCAGATTGGCATGCACATTATGCATATGTACATATTTACATATATATTTGTAGCAAGTTGAGGTTTAATGATTTCATGGCTGTTTGCGCACTACCTTTTTATTTATTTCATTAAAAGACAGAAATGATTTTATGCAAACATTCCATCAAATATTAATCAAATGCGGTCGGTCGAAAATATGTCTCCTCCGTCTCAGTAACTCACTAATGTGATTTCTAGCATTATCATATTTATTATTATGATTTTCGACATGAAGTTGGAAACCTGAAAAGAAGTGGGTATGAGAACATTCAGTATGTGACTGCAAGGAATCAAAGCTTTTTTGCCAATATCAATCACTACATAATATATTGGTTAGACAAGGCAAGTGTGCCATTTGTTAAAGTTATTTGGACAGCAGAGCATAACATGAGGATTGCGTGCAAAGAGCAAAATTGACTTCTGGGAAAGGATCCATCAATATACCTGAAATCTTTATTGGATAATTCATTACTGCATTCGTTCGTGTTAGATTGAGAGTTTGAGAGTCGAGACCACACTGCTCAATAATGTCGAGCAGGTAAAATTAGAGCTTGTTAAATCGGGTAAACTGAGGAGCTTCATACGTTCATATACCTTCTGCACACACGGATTTAATGATACCGTAACTACTTTTACATATATATGTATCCCCAAATTGAGTACGTATTGGATTACTTTGACTTGTCCTTTCTCAGCAAAATAAGTCTCCACCGAGTAAACCACAAGCACGACTATCTCATTCCAGGCTATTTAATTATTTAGAAAATCAATCAAAGTACCGTGATCGAGGCTAATGCAACATTTAAACTTTCAATTTGCTTCAAACGAAATTTTCTCAAGAGAGCTAATAAATAAACCCTGAACGAGAAATCACAAACAAATGCAATCAATTATGTACTATCTACATACGTAGTACAAGACCGACGACGCAATTTTGCGGAGAATTACGTAATATAGATTTGTAGGTACTACATGGGTATGTGCACATTTAGATGAAACACGTGAGACTGAGAAAATGTGCACAAATGTCAATGAGAGAACAGTAAAACTGAGAAAAATAAATCTTAATACTCAAAATGGTGCCATCGAACGATGAAAAGAAATGACGCTTGAGATGAAGATCTCGCTTATGTATAAATTGGAGATTAGTTTGAGGAACTGTTTGCCTGACCTTTGATGGATTCGGAGTCGTCGTAGTCGGAAGAGTCGCCACAAGTGGATCTTCGGAATGACAAGTCTTTGGGGAGTTCGGACGAGGGGTTTCCTGGAGAGAATCCACGCTCAATGTCCGGTCCATCCTTGTCTGAGGAGAGGATGTCGTTAATGAAAAATCGGGTTTTCATGCTCTGCGGTGGGCCCTCCAAACCTACTTTGTCCATCGGCGATAGAGCTTTCTCTTGAGACGACGGCACTAGTGGCACAGCATTCACTGTCATATTTGTTGACATCCACCAACTGCTCGCCACTTTCTCCAGGGACCTTTTTCTCGCACCCCACCCACTCGGCTCATCCGTAGCCCCTACTTTCTTCACCAGCGTCTTGTATCTCACCACTCTTGGTCAGCTTGATCATTCAACGACTATTTCAAACTAACAACAACACCTCGTTTAAAACATGCCTCGATTTATCAGTCTTTTAAACTAAATATTTCCTTAGTCAGACAATTTACAAAAATTGGATGAATAATTATTGTAGTTATTCCTATTTTGGCTCTAGTAGTAACACGCTTTGACAGTCACACGAGATCTAGTTTTATTATTCTGTTGAACCAAAATGTAATTTTGTTCACACATATTTACTCATTCAAAGTGACGTTTGTTTGGTCAGAAGAGTGATTAATCAGCAGTCTCTCTCGACATGCAAACCTTTTAGAATTGTCACACATTTAACATTACACGATTCAGGTGTCACGATACGATAAGTTTACATGGATTGTTAGCTTCTGCTTGATTTCACTGTATTTATTGAGGTATTAACATTTTGTCGGGGGCAAGTTGAGAAATCTATACGAAGATGTAGACTTATTAGTTGCTGAGACTGGTTGACAATTGAAGAAGCAGAGAACTAGTAATGTAACGTGTCACCTCACTTATTAATCGAGGAGGAGGTTATCTGAATGGAGTTACGTAACGTGTGTGTACTTGTTGATCTGAGAGAGGACGAGAGCGTGTGTGTGTGTGTGATGAGGGAGCGAGGTCTGGGCTGGGAGTAGCTCTCAAGTGTTTGATGTTGCAAGTTAATAGCCGCATTACAGACTTGATCAGCACCACACAGCGAAGGATCTTCTGGATGTATGTTGGATAACTCGGCCGCTTTGACAATAATACTTACGTACGACGAGTGTTGTGAGAGGGATAAAAAGGAAGCGAGTCGTTGGTGAGAATTCTAGTCCAGCCCCCAACCAGACTCCTCCCTCCCTCGAGCATCTTCTTCTAATTGGCTCCACCGCAGATCCGTTTTTCGACACGGCGAAATTTCACCTTCCAGCACCGCTCGCAATTACGCAGATTTAACACCTTCGCTCTCATCAGTTCCGGATCTCACAAAGTGTCACAGTCTCTAATGTGCAGCTTATGCATGTGCACAGTCAAAGTGACGCAATTTTCTCATGTTATGAGATGAGCATTGATTGTTTCAATATCATAATTCTTCATGTATATGAACCACATTATTTTGCATAAAATAGATGAGGAAGTGTGAATTGATTGATTGCACATATTTAGTAATAAGCGTAAATAAATTATTGCAGAGTCGTGTCCTTTCTACAAAGATTTCTTTTCCTTCTATATAACATGCATATATAGTTTGTGGTCTTTATGTATGAGCGGATCAGAGCATGAGATTAGATTACTATCCATTATCCATTCCAACTAATTTACATTTGATCCCCTTCGTCCGTCCGTTCATTGCAGTGCAGCTGATTTTAAGTAGATTTTGCTTTTAGTTTTTTAAGCCTTTATCATTCCATCGGCTAAAAGGACACAGAGAACAAGAGAGAGGCACACAACAACAACCTCTTTTCTGAACGTGGTAGTCAAATCCCTTCAATACTGACCGGCTAAAATAAATGCATTGTTGTTATTGTACGGGTGATGATGATAACGAGGTTTTTATAATCACCCAGGACCAACAATAGGATTAAAAATTGGGCATTAAAAATTGAGAATAAATATCCTTCACTTCAATTGTTACTTTATTATTGCTTTTAAATCCAATGTTTCTATTCTTTTTTTTAATTCAGCTACTTATGCGACAATCAATAGTACGATCCAATCACTTGGTAGATATATAAATGAGGCATGATTGCCATTATTTGTCACCTATCTGAACAGGAAGAGGTGAAAGGGTAAAAATTGTAACTTAACTTTGAACAAAGTTAACTTTATACTCAGGATATGTACAAAATGCATATCTAGAAAATGTGCAGCCTGGCATTTCCCATGCTTTTATAATGAAAGCATTATTAGGTTAATATCGCATTTGGTCGTCTATTGTCACCATTCAATTATTCCAGTTTCATGTGAGGCAAATTGGTGATGTTACGCTGAACTGATCAAATATTTTGTGACCAGCATGAAGACAATAAGTAGCGTTCTTTGCTGCATGGTGAAGCACCAGAGCGAGAGTGAGAGGGGTGAAATGCATCTGCTTTCGCTTTCGCTTTCGACTCTACCTCCAGTACATTTTCACTCTATCTTTGATAGATGGGAAAAAATATTTGAACAATTTGTTGATTTCGTTGTTTAATGTGCTTGCCTTGTTTTGAGTTTAAACTTAGAGTTCGAGTCCTATATTCATAATTTATCAACTATTGTTGAGCATACACAAGTCTCTTGTGTATAAACTTTTTAAACGCAGTGGCAATCATGTAATTAAGTATGTTTGTGAATAGACAAATGTAGGGCACCTGCATGTGTGTACCCCAAATTGGGAAAAAGTTGTATGTCATTGTTTAGTTTTGTTTGGAGGTGACTGGACCATACGGCGTCGTCTGCTCCTGGTGTTGGGTGAAATGCACCAGACATTTGACTTTGACAGGATCATTGGATCTGAGGATGACGTGTACAGGAAATTTGGGTTAACGTGGTTTGGCTTTATGCGTATCTATCTATTTGCTGGAACTTGACGATATCAAAACTATTGATCCTTATTTAGCTTACTACATGCTATCAAATTGTACATGTCGAAGCGCTTTAAAAGCAGGAGCGGTAATTGAGCAGGGCTCTTACTTATATAGTTAGTTATTTAGCAGCGTGTTGTTTTGTTTAATGCGGAGGAAATGAATTGGGAAACAAAAGAGATGACATGAAATGTAATAATGATAATAAATTTAATGGGAGTACAACAACACAATTGTCGGGACACACGCAACGCATGTCCTCATCATCATCTTTCCTCCTCCTCCTCGACTTCACCCGTTTTCCCGTTTCATCTGATTATTATTTAATGTGCTCGTGTCGTGTCACACTCGCAGCTCTGTCACTGAAAAGTTTGCACTGCCACTTATCTGTCCCATTGTTCTTTGCACCATGCACCCACTTGAGACCAAAGTTGGGGTTCCACCGTGGCTGAAATGTATTGCTACGTAACGTACTTGTGTATGCATTTACATATATGTATGTAGCTACCTCCGACTAGTAGTAAGTCAGTAGACGCGACTCCATAGAGAATGATGTCGGGATGAATAAATAATGCGTTTGCATACACGAGACACTAAATCAGTGATTTGTTATCTTGTGCGATCGTTTAAATAATACAAATTAAACAATGGTTTAAATTTGGGAATGCCTCCATACACATAAATACTCGATGTAGAAAAAAAGCATTATTTTTTATAATTTTGCTTGGTTCATCTCATTACAATGCTATTTTATTTGAGAGGGTAATTCTCGTTGGATGAAGCCAATTGTTGGACATACTTGGTTTCCCATTGAATTAGTTCCGGTTGGTTTTGGTTTGGTAGTGTGCACGTTCCAAATTGATGGTGCATGGATTTGGCTGGATTTCTTTCCGGATGTTCTGCTCTGGTCTAGGCATCCGTCCATCGTCGGATTTCATCCTTTGAATCCATTTGCTTGTGCAAGTCGTTCGAGTAACGCCTTGTAAACTGGATGAAAGAGAGGAGAGAATTCATGCTTAACAAGCATGAGACAAGCAGCCTTTGAGGAATTCCTCTTCTCTATTTCATCCTTCAATAGGATAAGTCTTAACTTCTGCCTCGTTTCCACTGGAAAAGGATTCGAGTTAGCCATTTATCCAAGTTCAAAGACGGAGTACAAGGTTCTTGTGGCATCGGAGCTCGGTGCTTGATGATTTGTGGGTAGGAATGCTTTGATTTCGATTTTATGCCAAATCTAATTCCCTGCAAACCTGGTCAGATTTGAAGGAAAGTCCGACTCCATAGCTCGTCAAACCGAAATTAGTTTTCATCATTTGAGACCAAACTGCAGTCTAATTCGATTAAGTGAGCTACTTGCACACATTTATGCACTAGTTTATTATTATATTAAATATATGCTTATAATGTATATTCATAAAGTTACTACGTATATATAGCCCAAAAATCCATTGTTGGCCGATTCCTGCAGGAGTTTGAATGAAAAATGGTTTGGAGAAGAAGGCTTAAAGTGAGATTAGGTGAAATGATACGAGGGCTGAAAAGGTGTGAATTTATTTGTGAAAGGGAAATGTGAAGCGGGCCAGAATTTGTTGTATGCACGCATAACGAAAGAAGTGGAGATGGATTTCACCGTTGAAAGGAGGGTGTCACATCACTACCACAACTGACTGACTGACTGACTGACTATAACATAGGACCTGAGCATTGTTGAGTGTGGACATTAATAATGGAGCCCTGGCTGACTGGATGGATTTGTGTTGTGTGTGTTGCTTGGCTGATGATGAGTCCGGACATGAAGAATGAATTGATGAGAAAATCTTTTAATCTCGTCAGTTTGAGGCCACTTTGATACTCGCTTTGAGAGTTTGCTTTGGAGGAAAGGGCTGAATGAATAGGCATAAAGAACACCCTGGCACCGGCCAATTTACCCGAATAATGTCCCTCATAATAGGAGTCATTCTCACTCACACCTTATACACTCGCTTTTCTATTACTGTGCTCCTTTCCCCATCTCCTTTCCAAATGTGCTTCTGAAAATGCGCTGGCTATTGATTGGGAGGAATACATATTTATGTACGCGATGAGGGTCCCTCTCCACGCCTCGGGAATGATTAGTCCTTCCATTGTCGAGTTAATTGCATTCAGAAGAGACGCTTCAGTCATTTCTCGCGTTAACAATAAAAGCCAAATCCTTCATTCAGCCCACAACATCATTGCCCACGATTCAACAGTGCATCCAGCAATTCAGTACGTCACCTTCACCATGTGCTCCCAGAAACATAACTGAAGAGATATATCCAAGCTTTACATGGATCGAGTTGTCTTCTTGGAGGGACAGATTACCAACAAATGGTTTGTTGGATATAGTGACGCAAGTCACAGTTTTCAGTGGATTCACCCTCAAAGAATTGTTATTATTAGAGCAGAGTCACTATCCAAATTCAATGCAGTTCAGTCAGACTCTTTATTTCCAACAAAACTCATAATAGGATTTTAACTAACAAGTGAACACAGAATCTGACTGACTGAGTGAACATGTTCAGAACGTCAGTAGAAGTAGCAGCAGCAGGGGCATTTTTTATTTGCACCAAATTAATTCGAGCGTGAATGCTGGACACAAAAGCGGACACATTTTGTACATATGGCCGGAAGGAAATTGTTTAAAGCGATTAAGGGAGACAATAAAGACCATTTCCGCAATGTACCGATTTCATAAGTGGGCTTTAGCTCACTATCTGATAAACTCTCTTCACCAACGCACAATGAGACGACACAACTTTGTTTGAAGCCTTGTTAAATTCATTGTAAATCTAGTGGGAAATCCGATAACATGTTTAAATAAAATGGTCCAGTCCAGAGTGAATTTACTCTTTGTAGTTTTATTACTAATGGGTTAACTCTATTACTAATAATGAAACGTTGAATCTACAATCGATCCTTTCGTGTCTGTGAACTATGTAAATAATGCAAAAATGGATGGACAATACTGAAGTAGAGTTGCAATTATTCACTTTGAAAGAGAATAAATATTATTAAAAATTAAAAAAAGAAGAAGATTAAAGTTCTTTTAGATTGAGATAAGATAGACGTCTGTTATTGTTGTTGACTGTTTTGTACTTTATACTCGTTACGTTGCAATTATGAGATTTACATCATCTAGTTTCACTCCCATATTTCTGT